ACAGGCTGGAAGTTATTATTATCGGTTAGAGTGTCGGATTGAGAACAAAGACGGGATAAAGGAGATTTTTGCTTTTCGAGAAACAATCCAAGACGAAGAAGCTTGGCAGAGCATTGAGTAATGCCAATATGTCGACAAAAGGTATTTGTTTTTTTGTATTCGGAGACGAGGAAAATTTGCCTTGACTGCTTGACAAGAATTAAGCAACAGCCATGAAAAGGAAAGCAATCCACAGAGTTAAAAACATCGAGAAAAAAACACGGCAGACTTGTAATGTTTGCTTTACGACTTGCCAATTAATCGAGAACCATACCCGATTGAGAAGTAATCAGCAAGAACAATGCCTCGGCAAATGTTTGGAGAAATGGAATAAGAGCCTCCAAGAGCATTACGAAGAAAGAGCATTAATCCACCTTGCCAAGCAAGAAAAGAAAAAAGACGAAGACGAGAAATAATATGACCCAAAAATACGAAAGATACCTTAATTGGTTAAAAGACAAAAACCTATCTCCGAACAGCATTCGGGTGTATATGGATACTCTGACGAGATTTCCCGTCAAAATCACCACTCCCAATTTACGGGAATATTTTTTAGCCCAGGTGAAGTATTACGAGCCTGCTAGTTTAAAGTTAACTAAATATGCTCTGAATTCCTACATCAAATTTAAGAAATTACAAATTGATTGAGAACGGATCAGCCGAATTATCCCCAGCAGCCAACGGAAATTTTATATTACGATTGATGAGAAAGAGTTAAGCCAGTTAAAAGCAGCTCAAGTAGAGAAAAGTCCCGAAGTTCACGAACGGAATAATTTAATGCTCGATTTTCTGTTTTATAGTGGAGTGCGAATTAATGAGCTAGTGAATATAAAGCATAGTCATTGACGAGGGAAGCAATTAAAAATCCATGGCAAAGGCAATAAAGTCCGTTATATTTTACTCCCTCCTTTTCTGATTAGTTATTTTCGTCCTTATGTTGATAATTACTTATTTACGAGCCAAGCCGAGTATATTCGGTGATTGCTAAAAGCCCGAACCAAAGAGGCCAATATTAGGAAACGAATAACTCCCCACACTTTTAGACGGAGTTTTGCCACTCTGCTTCATAATAACGGAGCTCAATTAACCACTATTCAGAAGTTATTAGGCCACAGCAGCATCCACACCACTGAGACTTACATTCATAACGACTTCGATTATATTTACCAGGATTACAGTCGATTATGAAAGCAAGCAACCCCAGCATAAAAGCCATGCCAGAAAATAAAACCCCTAACGGAGAAATTATCCGAGAAGTTATTAATAATTCGCAAACTGACAATTACGAAAAATTGGTCGAGGAGATAAAAAGCAAATCCCAGCAAACTTCCCCTATTGCGGAAAGTCCTGACCCTTTACCTACCAAAAAAATAATTGCCTCGGTTAAGTTTCGAAGCACCAAAAACACCCAGCCAAGTAAGTGTTTCAAATGTAGCCAAGTTTACCACCCAGGGAAAGGTCAAAACAAACTCCTCTGCTATAACTGCTGCCAGAAAAGAGACTGAATGCTAGAAAAAAGAGGAAAGTCCCAATTTTACCCTGTTTTAGTTTGGAGCAGTTTTATTTTTCAATACTCGTTGTTCATCTTTATTGTTCTCGGTTTGCTAGATTTGGCAAGTTCCAAATGATTTTATTGAGGTAGCTGAAAAGGCAAAAGTAAAATCCCTCCTTTTAACTGATTTTGAGACTGGTTTTATCGACCCTTTGAAAAAGAATGAGACTGAGAAAATGAGTAAGCCAGAGGGAGTAGCCGAAGCCCCAAAGAAGGCTAACAAAAAATATGAGTTTAGAAAATACCCTAGTTAATTTACACGAAACCCA